TCCGTTCTTTCATAATCCGTTGTCGAATTGTGATCGGCACAAGCTTTTCTGTGTCGTGGAGTTGCTAATGCTAATGGTTAGCTTCTACTAGCTGAGACGTTCTCTGCTGTTTCCTGAACACTAAAACAAAAACCGCCTTCCCCGTCACGAGTCAAGTTGGCTGGCTCCATGAATGTGACAGTGTGACGCAGATCTGTCAAGATTTTCAACTCTTAGTGTATTTTCTATCAGAAGGTAATGCAGGAGATAGGTGTAGGAGACACATTCTGAGACCGACACAAATTGAGTGATTCAAATAAATGGTAAATGGCCTGTATTTGATATAGCACCTTCTAGAGTCCTGGATCCCCCCAAGGCGCTTTACAACACAATCAGTCATTCACCCATTCACACACACATTCACACACTGGTGGGGATGAGCTACAATGTAGCCACAGCTGCCCTGGGGCGCACTGACAGAGGCGAGGCTGCCGAGCATTGGCGCCACCGGTCCCTCTGACCACCACCAGCAGATAACGTGGGTTAAGTGTCTTGCCCAAGGACACAATGACAGCGACAGACTGAGCGGGGCTCAAACCTGCAACCTTCCGATTACGGGGCGAGCACTTAACTCCTGTGCCACCGTCACCCCAATATATGTAGTTCTATGAAATAGATGATAGCCAACACAGATTTAGAGCCTACTAATAGCACTGATTCAGTGGAAGATGGGAGGAACATTCTGTGTCACTTCATACAAGACAAAAGAATTAATATTATCATGAAATAACTTATTAGTTTGGTATTTTATGCTTATTTCAAGGTTATATTTTTCATCAGTATTTTACATTACTAGAACTTCTAAAATAATACACTGCCTGTAGTAATAATAATAATAATAATAATAATAATAAATCTGGAACTCATTTGCTGTTTCCCCTGGAGTGAATGTTTCTGTGATTCATTCATTAGATTAGTTTATCTGATCCTAGTTAGTTTGTAATTTTTTATTTTTGTCAATCTCATCAATCGTTAGGAGAAACTTCCAGTCACCTTTTACAAGGTGCCAAGTGCTTTCACATGAAGAAAGAGCTTCAGATTTAATGCTCCCTGGCTTTTAGAGTAATTACTAACCCAGACCCAGGATATTGAAGTTTGGCAAAGGCGTGGAAGGCTGGAGACCAAAGGTTAGCGTTATTGAGCCGGCTAAAAGAGGAGGCATTAAAGGACAGGAAGCAACTGTTCAGCTTTTGTGGCAAGAGCTCCATTTTATTCATTGTAAACGTTGAGTTATTGTTAATGAAATCTCTCAGTATTCAACTACTTTTGGGAGGGCATTCCTCTCAATCACCTCACTTTCTGTGACATCATGTGAGCTGGCTAAACTTACACGGAATGGTGTATCTTAAGACATCCAGTCATCAAGTTGAGGGCTGTTTTTCTCTCTCATAGCTCTCGAGTCCTCGTCTTTAATATGTTACCATTCATTTGTGGAAAACACTGCCCTCGGCGCACCTTGACCTTTGTCGTTTCCGATGGCCCAATAGGCTGTTATCTAATCAGGGAAACGTATGACTTCAAGCAAGAAAACAGGGAAAACAGTAAAATGAATGAGACCTATATTCATATTTGAAATATAAAGTTGTTTGTCTGTTTTGTTAGCATGTTTCATTTGGTGAGTTTATTGCCATCTTAGAAGTTAAACACCCATTTTTAAACTGTAAGTAGTAAGTGAGCAGCCTGTCGCAGATAAGCGCTATAGGGAACTGCAAAGTGCAACAAAGAAAAGCACATTTTGTTGTCATTTTCTGATGTGACATCTTGTGCATTTGTACTAGTCATTTGTCAGCAATCAGATGACGTGATTGATAGTTTGAGGCTGTCTTACAGGGATTCATTTGTGATTGAAAGGGATTGTGATCCAGAGCCTGCTGTTATGTTCTGTCTGGTTTAAACCTGCTACCGATGCAAATTTGGAAATCAGAAGTTTTCACAGACTGAACTTGACCACATGGTCAGTCACCCTCTGGCTCAGGTTAAACATACACCGACAGCTTCAGACAAATATAAGCATAAAAACTAGGGGTGCACGGATTGCAGTTTTGGCCGATCACCAATCTTGTGAAAACCTGACTTGCCGATACCGATTTTTGCCCATACTGATTTAGTCTTAAAGGGACTTTACAGAGTTTTGAATTTTCATGCTCGCGATTGCCCCCTCAGGACAAAAGCGTAACGGCAATAGTAGGTTCGTGAACGAGGCGCGAATGCTGTATGTGCACACTCCTTAACGAAAATAACAGCTGAGACAGTCCCGTGTGTGTGTGTGTGTGTGTGTGTGTGGCCCGGAGGACAGAGGACAGGAGAACACGCAGCTAATTAATTAAATCATTTGGTTCTGTACCTTTCTCTTCAGCACAGCCGACAAAGGTTTAAGATGGGTCAGTCTTCCTGCATACTCAGACCATTCCCTTCCCTTGCTTGAAAATTGTTCCAAAATGAAAGTTGAACCCACATCTTTTTTTATCTGTGAATTCAATGCCGTTCGGCGAGTCTCAAATAAAAGTTTAGGCATCTTACTGTAAAAAACAATATACCATTAATGTAAAAAAGAAACTCTAAACGAACTATGTTCACATCCAGTTTCGAACCCAGGTCTTCAGCACGAGAGTCCGACGTCTTACCAGGTGAGCTATAGCGCCAGTGACGTGTCTAGTACCTGTAACCTTTATATCCTTGATGACAGCTGAAACAATGTTCAAAGAACGGTTCGGAGCGAAAATGGCTATTTTGTTGCTAATTTGCAGGAAATATCTAGAAGAAAGTTCTACAGAATGTAGCTAAAGCCGGACGTACACTGTGCAACTTTTTCACTCGTAGCACTCAGCTTCAGCTCAAACTGTACGACTTCCTCGCAGGGCAGATCTCACGAGTCATGCGCTCACACTGTACGACCCAGTTCTCGGATGCGACCTGACTGCTCACACTGTACGTCTGGTAGCAACACGTCGGCCCTAAAAATATGCTAAAAATAGCAGTTTTTACTCAACACGTCAGACTTTTTTGTCTTGTTTTGCCTGTTGTCCTTCGGGAGTGCTGCAGGAGGACACACAGGGATTTATGGGGGTTGAATGAGTAAAACGAAATGAAGAAAGTAAATCTGTGTTTTGTGATCAGTTTAATTTGACATGAACACGACTAACACGCTTTCTTGACAATCTTTGTGAGTAAAAAAAACGTGTAGAAACAAAAATGAACAGCGTGTGTTATTAGGGAAATAGCGAGCGAGCGGCGTTGATGCAGGATTGCGCATGCGCCGTGAGCGGTTCTGATACATTTTGGGTCGCAGCTGCTCGCAGCGCCGCTTCAACAGTGCAATACCCTCACGAGGGATGAGCAAACTATTAAACACGCCAGAAGTCCGTGCGAGCTCACGATTGCTGATCGGTAGCTGGTCACTTGGTGTTAATCGCCTCTCATAACCCCCTGTACACTACACGACGCTCGGCGCAAAACTCGCCCCGATCAAGTGGATTCTCGCACGAGTGGAAAATCGGCTCAAAAAAGTGAAAAAGTCGCACAGTGTACGCCCAGCTTAAGGGTCCTCAGAAATGTAGCTAAGTTCATCACTAGGCGTTAGGAACAGCGAATAAGTCGCTGAGTTGGCACTACGTGAACGTGCATGAAGCAGCCTGCTCGACCCGAGCATCTCTTTTTCTGTGATTTTACAGAAAAACAGACAATCACAGTAAAAATGCCAGGGCTCATTCTACAGGACCAGGGCATTGCAGGAGAATGTATGAAGAAGAAATTTATTATTTCTATACATGTTTTGGCTGTCAAACTTCCATAATGCCCCTTTTAACTAAAATCAGATTATGTCAATGTTTCAGTTTCCTTTTATTGAGAAAACCAAGATGAATACTCATGAAATGATGCCAGTTTCAACTGGACATGTAATGTTCTCAAATAGGGATGTAAGAAAATATCGATATGGCAATATATCGTGATATTTTTTCCATCAATATTATATCGATATTCAAAAGCCGTGTATCGGAAATATCGATATGGCAATATATCGTGATATTTTTTCATGCGATTATTACATCGATATTCAAAAGCCGTGTATCTAATTCTTGAAATAATTTACATGCAAACTTTTGTGTATTTTCTTTTCGTTTTGTGCAATTCAATCGCCACCCGCTAGTTGGCAGCAGTGTGCAACAGGTTTTGTTTCCACCATTGAACTGTAAATCCCTCCATCATGGTTCAGATACCTCATGTTAAACATGTTACGTATCAGTTTGGACTGTTTATTGAACATTCTTACAATAAATTCAGTAAAAAAATTTGCTTGTAACGTCTGACTGAATGTATCGCAATATATCGCGAAATATCGTATCATCTCCTCTGTATCGTGATACGTATCGTATCGCCAGCATTTCAAAAATACACATCCCTGTTCTCAAATATAAACAAACATATTTAGCATTGCTGTTTGAACTACAAAATCATATTTATTCCTTTAGACTTTCATTTTTTCTAATTTAGAAAACAAACTGTTGTACCTGTTTTGACACACTTGTCCAAAAAAATTATTCTATAGCAATAATTTGCTTTAACATCAACTAGGGGTGCACCGATTGCCGTTTTTGGCCAGTCACCGATCTTGGAAAAAACTCAAGATCAGGGTCGGTAGATCCGTCGGCAGATAGATCGGTGCATCTCTAATATAAACCATGCATATACTTTTTCTACAAGGTACGATAAACCTCTTTAGGTTTGTCCTGTGTGTAATTTTATGCATTAGATACAAGGTTAAAGCTAGCTTATTGAGTCTAAAATCAATCTATAAATCTGAGGCTGAGTAGGTCTGATGATGCTTTTGTAGTTCTTGTGACATCATTAAAAAAAGAATCCCGTTAGAAATTAAATGTATTGTTTTTGTATGAATTAGCTAACCATATTGTTTTTTTTTCTCCATCCCTCCCCCTTTGCCTTATTCCCTCCTTCCTTCCCAGTGACAGTTATGCGCGTGTGAGAGCAGTGGTCATGACTCGGGATGACTCCAGCGGTGGGTGGCTCCCCTTGGGGGGTGGAGGCCTTAGCTGTGTCACTGTCTATAAGGTCAGCCGGACAGAGGACAGCAGCAGCACCCACAGTGGAGGCAGCGGAGGAAGTGGCAGCAACCTCAGCCCTGGCAGCCCCAGCCCCAGTCCCAGTCCGAGTCCCACCGTCGTGGAGTTTCACATCAGGGGCGAACGGCTCAAAGACAAATTGGTGAGACAATCTCAAATGTCCTGCTTTTCATTTTCACAAACAGGAAATGGTTTGTTCTCTCAATGCTGTGGACCCCAGTTTTCCAGACACCCTCCCTTCATCTCTCTCGTGCACACTGACACAAACAGGAAGTGGGTTTTTTGGCCTTCCTCCGTCGCTCAGTCTTCTGAAAATAGGAGCAAACAGCATAACGCTGTGATGCATGATGATGTCATCAGACAGAATGTGGGAAAGAACATGGATAGAATATGAGTTTAGTATTTCCACACTTTTATTTCCTGCCTTTTAATAGCAAAGCACCTTTCTTCTTAATTCTTAATATTGTCACCCAGCCTGAAGAGCATGTTTAGCTGTCTCCAAAGGATCAAAGGGTGTAGTCTACTGTCACTTTATTATTTACGGCGTTTGAAGTAGCTGCTCATGAACTTTTTGTCTTTCTGTCCTTTAAATGCAAGACAGATCCAGTAGACTGGCTTTAATAATCTGTGGTTTCAAGGGTGTAAATCTATTTGTGTGAGAAAAGCTGCATTCCAGGAGGCGAACGAGGCCACCTCGATGCTCAGAATCTGGTGATCCCAGACAATCTGACAGCAGAGGCTCGTAACAGGGGCGTCTGAGTCACGGTTTTTAATCTTCTTCCACTGAACTCACTTCATGCTTATTGCATCTGTGACGTTATCCAGGCGCGTGTGTGGCACAGAGAAGGGCGTGATGAGAATTCTGTTGTCCAGACATGGAAAAGGCATGGCTCAGAGACCCCAAGCAATTGTGATGGGGATGTGGTGAAACACCCCTATCAGCGCCAGAGTTCCCAGCCGCCACAACAAACACCAACCCATATGTAGGTTAGTCAGGATGCCACCCAGGGCTGGGGTGTCAGCGTCAACCACAGCGCTACCAACTGTCTGGGGGCATCAGAAGAATCAGCGGCTACAAAGAAAACCACATTAAATGCTAGCCTTGGTTTAAAATAAAAATCCTTGTTGCCACAGTGATTTCTTCTAATTGGTAACACCGGTGTTTTTATTTAGGACCTAAACAAGAGACTATAATTATGTCATATGAGCGATTTCTAAAACTGAAAGAGTAAAGATGGAGTGGGTTTTTATAACTCTGGAAGCCATCTTTAGTTTGTCTGAAACATAGAACAGGAACACAGGCTACCATATTCTAGCTACGTCTAATTTATGTTGACGAGAAGGGTTCCTTTTCAGTGATTAATCAGTTTGGAAATGGACAGAAACACTTTTCTGTTTCTAGCAGCTGAAAATAAAAGTCAGGAATGCAGTTACTCCAGAGGAAAAAAGGAAAAGTGTGGTGGTAATTGTGATACATACGATGTCACAAAAACTAGAAAAGAGTCATTTGTCATGAAAGAGCAGGAAATGGAGGCGGAGCCATACGGATGGGAGACAGAAGAAGCGAGTTGGAGGGGTTTTGTCTGTAAGCGCAGTGATGCGGCGCAGAGTGTGCTGGTGATGACTCAGCTGGCTCTCTATATAGCTACCAATCACTCTCCTACTCCCTCCCTCCAGTCTGTCTCTCTCTCTCTGATTCTTCGGTCGATGATAACTTGCCATACCAGCTCTCGGATTATGACAAATCTCTGGCTAATCTCCCTGCCACTCCACCTCGCTTTCTTTCATTAGCAGTCGTTGAGTACCTCTGATTGATGCAGCTGTGAATGTGTCGTTGCCAAGGCTTCCTCTGAATAGCTTTACCTTGCAGCCCAGGTCTATCTGACACAATGCGTTTCTACAGTTAACCTTGCTGTTTTAGAAATGACCACAAATCACTCATCAGCCTATATTCATTACGAACAAGTTTATTTTGCAACACCTCTGGATGTCTCTGTTAACATGTCCTGCCTGTGTGCTCCTTCTGTCTTATTTTCTACAAAGGTAGCTCCTCCTCCTCCTCGCTTTTCTTTGAGCACATTGTGGAATGCGGTGTTAAGTGTCATCCTGCCATGCAACTGTGATACTTTTTTCCCTCTGTCAGGCCTTGCAGCATGCTCACCTTACCTGCTCTGGCTCCATTCAGTCTCGCCTCTACAGTCACCCCCCCAGAGGCACCTCGAACCCCTCCTCCCCCGCCACACTTCTTTGCCACCCCATCTTCTCACATCAATTCTTCTCATTTTCCCTCCTTTAGGCTGTGGCAGGTAGTGACACGGGGACTGAGTTTATAAAACCATATTGGCATCTACTGCTTATATTTTGAACGCACCAGCTCCAGCAATGATCCCGTGAAAACACACACACACATTCACACCTTGTTAAGCCTCCTCTCGTGCATGTCAGTGAAAACCTCGCGGACCGTAATGGCCATGCCTCATTTCATTTAATCTGCCTAGAGGAAGGCCGGGAGACGGCCAGAAGCCCTGATTAGGGAAGGTTTTAGAAGCACATCCTCTCTTTCTGCTTGGCTCTTGGGTTTCCTGGCTTCAAAACATCCCATACTCCTCTTCAACCTACTTCAAGACAAGCTTGTGTTTTAGAGATTATTCTAAAATTGACGAGAGATGACTGAATTCGTTGTCGTTTTTCTTTCTTTTGAAATTCTAGACTTGCACATGCCATCCCATAACCAGAAAGAACACATCAGAACAGATGTGACACATTAAAGCGCATCAGGAAGTAGGATGATGGATTAAATGTGCATCAATGTATAAAGTTAATCCTGAAACCATTAAACCAAACAGTGACATCACAAATGCCTAGCTGACTGTCACAACGGTGTGTGTCCGTATGATTTTAGGTGGTGCTGGAGTGTGTTCTACAGAGAAACCTGGTGTACAATAAGGTCAACCCCATCTTCCACCACTGGAGAATCAATGACAAGAAGTTTGGGCTGACGTTCCAGAGCCCCGCTGACGCTCGAGCCTTCGATAGGGGCATACGCCGAGCCATCGAGGACATCAATCAAGGTGTGGGCATGTTACAATAGAGTCTTGTGTGTGTCTTTGCGTTTTAAAGCAGGTCAGACCAGATCAGTCGGTTGTTACTCAGCAAAATGTTCCTTGATTTAAAAATACTTTTGCTACTGTTTTTTTTAGCCCGATCAAAAACATCTAAACCACTTCCAGAATTCTCACTTCTCTTCTCGTCTGATCCGATTTGTTCAGAATTCACTCCCGAGAGTTTGGCCCTCACTAGCTTCAGGTTATTGCCGTTAACTTAGACATTTGAAATAAGCCGAATGGCTTTTTATGAATGCACCATTGACATTTATTTCTGCCTTCTTCTGTTTATGTCTCGTATTGGCCAACCTCTGTTCTAGAAGTGATGCGAAGCTTCGATAAGTGTTGATGACTCCACCGTCACTTCTACTTGTTCATTGAACCCAATCGTGACACCAGCTCGTGATATCATATCAGTCCCAGCTGCTCGGATAATCTCGCTACTTCCTGCAGGGACTGGCTGCTCAACGCTTTGCCTGGAGAAGGGATGGTATAATACAAATGCGGGTAGGAAAGGGGTGAGATAGGGGCTGAACTCAGGAGATCTTTCATTGAGCTGGATTATTATTTTTTTTTTTTTGTGAAGTAATTAAAAAAGGTAAAGGCTAGTAGTATAATATGTAGTATTCATAAGTTTCCTTAAAAGATTACTTAGATTTTGCTGTGCGGAGTTCCTTCCTAATAAGCAATATTTTTATTGTATAGAAGCAGAAGTTGCAAAGTCATCCAATTAGTAGAAGTGTTGCTAGCTCAGCAATCTGCTACCCAGCCCCATGTTACACAAGAGGTGAGCTGGCTAGCTGGGAGGCTATTATCTCTCTCTCTCTCTCTCTCTCTTTTTTTTTTTTACGTTTTAGACCTTAGAACCATAGGGAGTGTAGAGGAGATCCAACAAAACCTATCATAAACGCTTATCACAGCTGGGCATCAGTCTCCTCTTGCCCACAAATGCTTATCTGAGGTTTGAGGATCTGGGCACAAGTCCAGGCAGCGTCTAGGTAACAGGAAGTTTTACGGCAACACTGGCTTAGCGGACTGCTTTTCTCGTAAAATAAAATATGAAGCAGGAAAGAAAACATAAAGAATTGATTTTAATGAGAGTTTTTCTTTACCAGTGTTATTATTTGAGCTTATTCTTCAGATTGTTTTTATTTATTTATTTTTTCAAAATAAAGACTAATAATCAGCTTGTTGATTTAGTAATGTTTAAGTAAAATAACAAAAGTGGCCTATTTCTTTGTTCTGTATTAGAAAAGAGAAATGTTTCATCTTATACTTGGAGTCTGGTTTCAGTTTCAACAGCTTTATGAGTTATTCAAACAAAAATAAATATTCAACTAATACAGATAAAAACAAAAAAAGAATTTAATTGTAATTGATATGAATGTGTCGTTACAGCTGCAGTCGTGAGATTTCTGCAGCAATGATGCACGTCCTCCAAATATCAGAGTGACTTCACAGTTTTTACTGATCATAGAAGCGTCCAGTCTTTCCTGTGAATGTCAGCTACAGGAGGTGATGGTGGGATTTGACTCCCCTGTGCCTGCCCTCCTCCATCCCACACTCCCTCCCTTCCTCTGTTGCCGTCCTTGACTTTGTCAGTTTTGCCTTCCTCTCCGAGCATCCTCAGTATTCTGCCGGTGTTGTGTAATGCCTCTCCTCGGCGCAGGCAGGCGAGTTCGTCTGTATTCCTGTTGCGTCTCTGTGCTGCTGGACTGCTGCGTGAATGTGTGTGGGAGAAGAGGCAGCAAGAGAGAATATGTTTTTTTCCCTTCTCCCTTTCTTTTCGCCTTCGCGTGTGTGCGCACATGTGCGTTAATCGGTCTTGCAGTCTCCTGTTGCCGTGGCAACGACGGGCACGTTGCTCAGGCAGCTTTGCGGCCTAGCACTGCCTGAGTCGTGCTGCAGGAGGCCTCCTTTCTCTCAACGCTGGAGAAATGCATTGACAGTCACAGTCCTTTCACTGTGTGATTCAGAGACGGATGGACAGACTGCGTCTAACACAAGACCAGTGAAATGTTCCCTCCTCGCTGTGACAGATTGCTGTGTTCTCATTCTGAACACAAACAAGAAGACTGTAGTGCTTTACATCAGACCTCCATTTAAGTGATTTTAATTAAATTAGCCAAAGTTTGAACAGTTTCTCTGGTACAGCATGATTACTCCACTGTTGTTTGGGAGGCATTAGGATAAATAGTCATGAATACTTTTATAATCGTTTCAAACTGGGAGCTCTTTTTGATCTCAGGCTTGAGGGGAAAAACATTAGAGGAAGTCAGATTTCCTAGTTGATAACTCAGATACGTTTTTCCAAAAAACAAACAAACAAAAAAAAAAAAACAGGCAGCTTACACAATAAACAGAAGCACTTCTGTTTCTGGTGGCCTGATTTTATGTCCCATCATCCCATTTCAGTGTTACAGTAGGATGACAAAACCAGGGAAAAGATCCAGTTTAAAGATGCGTTTACAACAGGACGCATAAATGTTCTAGTCAGTTTTTCTTTAGCCCTCTTTATAAGACAGACTGTGCCAGCAAATCAGCGTAATATTTAGGGCTGCCACAAATGACTTATTTTATTAGTCGACTAATCGCCCGTTTTGTTGACGATTAGTTGACTAATCGTGTGTCATACATTCAATCTCACTCACACACACACACACACACACACACACACACACACACACACACACCTTTTCGAAGGTTGTCTAGCATTTCCTTTCCATCATTGTAGTGAAATGTGATCGGCCAGGTAAATAGTTTTCATAGTATTCTGGGTCTTTAAAACCTTGATCGCCGACCAGGGGTCTCGTGTCCGTTACCAGCATGTTCAAAATGGCCTCGGTCAGGACGTTGGCGTGTTGTGGTGTGCATGTGTTTGGCCTTGTAAGAAACTCATCTATTGTAGAAGAAGAGCACTTTCTTTAAGCATTGTAACCTAGCGGTATAAAAGAAACTATTAGCGTTTGTAACAGTAGAGCAAATATGTGTGACTACGGTGTTCTAAACATATAACCGCCATCACTACTGTTGTTGCTACACCTATGACGCTAGCAGCTAACAAGAGGAAAACTTACAGAGGCGACTCTTCGTTCTCCGCCGCCACGTGCTTCCTTTTAAGATGCATCGCCGATGTGCTCCTGTGAAACGAGAGTTTCACCTTACAGAGTTTGCACTCTACTTGCTTCTTAGGTGTTATCATAAAGTGTTCCCAAACCTTTGAGCTCTGTTGCCACCGTCCCATGTTGTGTAATTTCTCTGGTGATTCTGATCCAAATGCTGAGCTGGAGGGGCACTACTGTGCATGTGCCTTGACTTATGTAAGCAGCGGCTGACACGGATGGCGACCAGTGCGCATGTGCGTTGAGCAGAGAGGCAGGAAGCACACGCTGACCGTGCAGCAGCAGGCGAGACTTTTAAAATGCTCATACAGTAAACGACACGTTGACTATTAATCGCTGACAATTTTTTTGTCGACGTTGTCGTGATGCATCGACTACTTGTGGCAGCCCTAGTAATATTACTGCAACGTTTGTTTTACTAACGCGCCATGCCAGCATGGCGATGCGGTCATTTTGTGGCATTCATTCCATCTCGCTTGGTAGTAATATTGTGGTAACTGTCTGCCTCATAATTGGTGATTGTGCCTTGGTGTAACAGAGGGAGGTGTCACGATGATGTGGGGAGCTACTGCTGAGCTTTGGCCGGCAACTTTATTGAAAAAGAAAGTAAAAATGGACCGTAAGTTTAGCATTTTGAACAAAATCAGCTGACACAGCAAACTGGAGCAATGCAACGCTCCAGGAGCTTCTCTCTGTTAGAGCTGGAGCTCAGATCACCAGAAGCTGCACGGTGATAGACACCTTAAGGAGCAGCTGTTAAAAAACGTAATGAGTATGACTTCAGTCGCAATATAAAGCAAGTTATGTCCTAGTTGATCGGAAGTCCGTGGCAGCACAGGGACCGCTGTTATGCTGTTATTGCCTAAAAAATGATTGCGCCACATTACCCCCACTGTCTGACCATTTATAAACAACCTCACGCCGGGGACACACTGGCTGCGGAAGCGCCGCGAAAATGGGGCTGCCTTCATTCGGCGCCCTTGTTAAGCTATTCTATAGACCACATGAGCCGCCGATGCGCCGCGAATCGCCTCGCGCCGGCGCTCCAGCCCGCGCCGTGCAGCGATCATTTCGGCGTTGGCTCTATTTTTTTCGCGAGCCGCGAGTGAATCGCGTCAATTCTGGCAGGAAGTCAAACCTAGACATAAGAGGCAGGCCGGTAAAGTTAACAAAATAAAGCATTTCAAAATAAAATTTCGCAATAGTCAAATGTGTTCGTAATCAGACACTGCAGAAAAACCACACGAACACACACACACACATCGAACTTGTGTGCGTGTGTGACCACGTGAAGGGGTGTGTGGTTTTGGGTGTCTTTTCACCGGAGCAAACAGGACAGAGAGGCAGAAAGTCTGAGGCAAGCAGTTAGGATGGATGACTTTAAATTAATTATGGAAGTTGAGAAACACAAGGAGCTGTACGACCCCTGAAAAACATGGTTATTTACGTACCCATTTCAGAAGAAACTGCTAGGATACAGCTGCAGAATTGGAGCGGGTTCCAAGAGATTCAACTGGCAGAAACAACTCATACCATAGGTTCTCACACACACACACACACACACACACACACACACACACACACACACACACACAAACATAGTGTTTAAAAGAAAAACTACAGCTGAGTCGAGGCGCGCCTTGACTGGGGCGCGTCTGATCTGAACTAAGGAGTGGCAAGCAGCGGCCTGAATTTCGTGAGCGATTCGCTTCTCGGCGCTTCCGCGGCCGGTGTGTCCCCGGCGTAAGGCTCCCTGATGCCGCCACAGCGTTGCGGCAAATTGACGGCATTGTTTTGTAAAAACAGCTAATGTGTTGTCATTTCTTTTGGTTTATTTGGGGATTAATAGTTTTTTTATCAGAGGTCCTAAATGCGCTTAAGCTACTACTTTAAAGTTATAATTATTGAAAGCCTGGCAAGCCATCCTATATATGTAAATGTATAGTCTGGCAGTAACCCATAGACACAGCTCAGCTGTAGTGGCTGAATATATGGTTGTCTTTCATAAAACATAGCAGCAAAGTTGAGCCAACATTAGGGAGCCTTTGGTTGTTCATAGGTAGTTAGACCGTGTCGGTAATGTGGCGCAATGATGGGATTTTTCACAAAAGGTTACCTAGAGGGAGAGTGGGTATGGTCTCTGCAATAACTGACATCTTATTTGCTTGGAGAACCTTTATTGCGATTGAAGCTGTGTTCTTTAAATTTTTTGACAAGCCGCTCCAAACGGTAGCTGTCCTCTATGATCCCCATAAACTGTCTGGTGATCTGTGCTTCTGCTGTCATGTAGAGCAGCTTCTGGAGCTCTGCATTGCTCCAGTATGCTTTCTGAGCTGAATCTGTATACAAAAGCAAAACTTACTGCCCGTGTTTACTTACATTTTCAATATAGTTGCTGGCCAGGGCACAGTGGACATTCCATACATGATCATGACACCACCCTCTGTTGCGTTAAGGCATAATCTTCATTCACAAGTCCGATGTTGTAGGGCTGGGCGATATGGCCTAAAATCAATATCATGATATATTGATGATTTCATTGCGATAACAAGTATTATGTTGAGTCACATTTTTACATGACGCAAGGTTGTATAGCTTCTTAAAGGGACATGAACATTTCTAACCTACACACATCTTTCAATTTTTTTATTATCAAATTTATTGACAAAATTATGTTAAGAGTCAGAAATTTCGATAACGATACATTTTCGATTTATCGCCCAGTACTACGATTTTGCAGTAATATTACTACCAGGCTTGGCAACATGAAAGACACAAAATTGCTGCATCACCTTGCCACCATGGCCCTTTCATATGACACACCGTGTCGACAGCATTACACTGATTAGTTGGACAGTGTGTCTTATGAAAGAGGCTACTGCCTCTGCACATATAGCACTAGGACCCATCAGACCAACCAACAACGTGACATATTCATAGAAATAGAAATCAGTCAACAGGGCAGTCTGACATACACCGTAGAAAAAAATGTGTCTCTATCTCGCGAATTCAATTCCGGGCCTGGAGGGTCCAGCAGATATTAGTCTTAACTCTGTTTCTACACACCTGACTTCAATCATCAGGTAATTAACAGGCTTCTGCAGAGACTAATGAGCTGCTGCACAGTTGATTCAACCACTGAATCAAGTGTGTTGCAGAGGAACAACAAAAACGAGCTGGACACCGGCTCTCTAGGACCGGAATTGAATACCCCTGCTCTATCTGCTCGTGTTACAAAGAAAATCCCACGTCTAAATCATGCAAAGTTGATGCCAAAGCTGCTAAAAACAAGCACGGTTTCTGAGCTGCCGCCATCTTTGTAGTTTTGCTACGTTGCAACTCTGCCATCCTCATAAAAATAGATTAGTAAAAGCTCTCCCTAATGGTGCTAAGCCCGCCCAAAGTCTCTACATGAACAGAGCTGTGATTAACCCATTCTGCACTTAGCCATGCCAATGAGACTGGCTGGGACTACAATAGAGTGTGGCTAGACCAACCATCAGAGCAAATTTTTGCTTTTTCTGCAGTTTGTCTAGCTCTCAATGCTAAATTATTGCAACATACGTTTAAATTTTACCTGAAGGTACCGTACAATTCCCTCGCAGTCAATAACTCGTTCTTTGAATAAAGACTATACAAATGTGACCCAGTATTACTATTTGTTAGTATTTTTTTCACTGAGAGCAAATAAATTATTTAAGAACCCAAAAAATAACCTTGGTTCACATAACCTTGAAGCACAATATTAGGAATATTAATATATATATCAGTCACTACATTTTCCACTGACCAGAGTTTGTTCATCGAAAGCTGCTAATGACCAGCATGAAAGCTCAAACTTTTGACTTTAGCATCAGCAAGGGAAATGTTTTGGATGTTTGCCCCATTAATACAAAGCAGCTTTCATTTCCCCATTAGGCCACAGGCAGAGGAAAGCAGGAGCCTTGACCTGTTCTGGAGAGTCAGTGATGTACAAATCAGCACTGAAATGGTTTTGAAGTTCATTTTTTCTGGGGTACATTAGGTAAACTTGGTGTTTTCAAGGCAAATGTTCCCACAAAATAGTCACAGTTTTATTAGAGGTTTCTGAAACACGCCACAGAATCATATATTTTCCATAACTGAGACGACTTCAGGAGGGGTTAGCAACCTGTGAGAGAAAATTACGATGATAAGAGACCAAAAAACTCAATCAAACCGGCATTCCAAATGTTACAAATTTGTGAAAATAAATTAGGAGGATTTGAGACACTTAGCACGACAAGTAACTGTAAGCCCAGTTAGTAGAGCATGAGTCTTAGTGGAATTCAGAATCAGACAGGTTTTATTGCCATACGTGCGAAAAATCACAACATTAGGAAATTGCTGGAATTGGTGAGCAGATCAAGTCAACTGTTTCTTTTTATTTTCCAGGGTGTCATCCATTCGGTGAGGGAGATGCTCCTGAGGACGGATTACCGGTAAGTAAGATCAAAGCTTCAAATGATGACCCAAAGGTTCCTGTTGTGACTCTGTTGAGGATACGATTCTCAGTTATAATAGAACAGTTTGAATGTTATAATGTTTACATTATTTGTGAAGATAAACACAATTGGCTGCTTGCTTGGTAGCCATTTGTATCATTATTGTTGTTTTCTGGGGAATAAATTTTTTCTAAGCCACATACACATTTAAACGTGCAAAATAATATTCTCAAATATAATTTATTTCTTTTTCAAGGCAACACCCAGGTCAGTCTCTGGGTGCCAACAGTTGATATGGGTGGTTATAAATGTTATTCTTTAGCAAAGAAAGGCAACAAGTGTATAGTTCAAGCTGGCACGCCCATGATAGTTTGTTTAGGATACCAGACCTGTTCGTCACCTGATCTACTCACGATGGTAAAGATTGGTTTGCAGAAGAAAGAGCAGTTCCTGGAATAAATTTTTCTGTGACAAGAAAAATGATTGCATACCACAATGTAGTAATGCAACCCTGAGGAATAATTCTGCCATAAATGGTCAATTTTAAAAGAAAAACACCAATTATGTCTCTATTAGCAGCCGGAAAAGTCATAAGAGTTGTTACACCAGATTGTTTGCTATTGTTTTAGCTCCAGTGAGTCTATTCATTGACAGTTACTGTAGATACATTAGCTTTTTTTAACATGCCGTGTTTCCTGTGAGATTAGCTTTCAGCTGTACCCTCCAGAGGTTTGTCATTGGTCCTGCCCTGCTTGGCATCTGACACCCGTTGTCATTCGGAGTAGAAAAGCAGTACAGGAGGGAAAGCCACTTTCCCGTTTGTCTGATGAAGTTCCTCTTTAAGGAAGCAACCCGAACATACAGGAAATTCAATGGCACCACTGTTGCTAGGCTGCGGGGGGGGGGGGGGGGGGTGCATCTTGAGAGTGGGGGGTGTTCAGGGGGTTCAGTGAGCCACTGAGGGTGTCACCATGGTGATCTGGCATCCAAATGTTAAGGTTGAAGGCCTAGGCTACAGAGAAAGAGAAGTGATTCAGAGACAAGTGTTGCAGCCTGAGAACCAGTAAATGCCACCACCGAATAAGGTGCGACACTGACAGTTTCTGTGACATGGTGACATGCATTGTTTCTAACAAATGGCCAAATTGCTATAATAGGTTCCTTTCTTTCGGTCTAAGCAGATCTAGTTAGAATCAGCAGATCTTGTCTGGAGCATCTGTGACCTTGCAGATAAAATGGCTACCAAAGTCATATCAGAATGTGAGGTCATCATCAAGCCTTGTTTAAATTATTTGATTTGTCTGAGACGTTTACGACAGTGAGCAAGAATGCTCAATAGCCTTGCTCTGTTCCAACTGTTTCACCTGTTTGGGTAGAAGATGAGTGTGTTTGGACTAGGGCCCAACCGATATACAGTGGTGTGAAAAACTATTTGCCCCCTTCCTGATTTCTTATTCTTTTGCATGTTTGTCACACAAAATGTTTCTGATCATCAAACTCATTTAACTATTAGTCAAAGATAACACAAGTAAACACAAAATGCAGTTTTGAAATTATGGTTTTTATTTAGTGAGAGAACAAAATCCAAACCTACATTGCCCTGTGTGAAAAAGTAATTTGCCCCTGAACCTAATAACTGGTTGGGCCTCCCTTAGCAGCAATAACTGCAATCAAGCATTTGCGATAACTTGCTACGAGTCTTTTACAGCGCTCTGGAGGAATTTTGGCCCACTCATCTTTGCAGAATTGTTGTAATTCAGCTTTATTTGAGGGTTTTCTAGCATGAACCACCTTTTTAAGGTCATGCCATAGCATCTCAATAGGATTCAGGTCAGGACTTTGACTAGGCCACTCCAAAGTCTTCATTTTGTTGTTCTTCAGCCATTCAGAGGTTGATTTGCTGGTGTGTTTTAGGTCATTGTCCTGCTACAGCACCCAAGATCTCTTCAGCTTTAGTTGACGAACAAATGGCCAGACATTCTCCTTCAGGATGTTTTGGTAGACAGTAGAATTCATGGTTCCATTTATCACAGCAAGCCTTCCAGTCCCTGAAGCAGCAAAACAGCCCCAGACCATCACACTACCACCACCATGTTTTACTGTTGGTATGATGTTCTTTGTCTGAAATGCTGTGTTACTTCTACAAAAGATGTAACGGGACATTTGCCTTCCAAAAATTTCAACTTTTGTCTCATCAGTCCACAAGGTATTTTCCCAAAAGTCTTGGCAATCATTGAGATGTTTCTTAGCAAAATTGAGACGAGCCCTAATGTTCCTTTTGCTTAACAGTGGTTTGCGTCTTGGAAATCTGCCATGCAGGTAGGGATGGGTACCTTTGACATTTGAATCGATTCGGTACTAATTCCCGGTACCTAGGAATCAATGCCGGTACTTAACGGTACCAATTTTCGATACTTTTGAGTGTTTAATATTTTAATTCTCTTTTATAATTAAATACATATTTTTCTCAATACATAACCATATTTGATAAATATCACGATAAATAACATACAACTGTTTGTATTTTAACATCGTCCTTGTAGTTTTATAAGTTGATAATTAAACTGAAGCAAACATCTTTACTGTGAACTAAATTTACTGTGTATCTTCATTCCTTTTGCCGTCCTTTTCATTTGATTTTTCCTACTGGGAAGTTAGAATTTCCGAGGAGAAAGTGAACGCACCATTAGCTGATAACAATGGTGGCAATGGAAGCTAACATATCAAGCTAACGTTATCTTAAACAGTTTATTTAACTGCTGGAGCAGATTAAAACGATGATGCCTCACACTTAGATCGTTGTCACTGGTTTCATCTTCACCCAATCGCCCGTCACATTTAGTAAAGTGAAGCCCAACTTTAGAGCGCGTTCATGTTCTTCTAGTTGGAAATTCGGAGTTCCGAGGAGAAAGCGAACGCACCATTAGCGAAACGGAAGCTAACATATCAAGCTAACGTTATCTTAAACATTTTATTTACCTACCGGAGCAGATTAAGATGAGGATGTCTCACTTAGATCGTTGTCGCTGGTTTCATCATCACCCAGTTACCCATCACATTTAGTGAAGTGGACCCAAGCTTTAGCGTGCGTTCTTTCTACCATGCTGCTCTGTTTAAAAATGGCTTGCAGCGACCGCCGACATAACGCTCTTGCGCATGCGCAGCTGTCTAGGCAAGTTTTCATAATGAAGGACGGGTACCGAAACGAGGCACCGTTTCAAATGACATGAATCGGTGCTCAGTCGGTACTGTGGAATTCGGTCGGTACCTTAAAAAGTATCGAATTTGGTACCCATCGCTACATGCAGGCCATTTTTGCCCAGTCTGTTTCTTATGGTGGAGTCGTGAACACTGACCTTAATTGAGGCAAGTGAGGCTTGCGTATCTTTAGAAGTTGTCCTGGGGTCTTTTGTGACCTCTCGGATGAGTTTTCTCTGCGCTCTTGGGGTGATTTTGGTCGGCCGCCCACTCCTGGGGAGGTTCACCACTGTTCCATGTTGTTGCCATTTGTGGATAATGGCTCTCACTGTGGTTCGCTGGAGTCCCAAAGCTTTAGAAACAGCTTTATAACCTTTACCAGACTGATAGATCTCAATTACTTTTGTTCTCATTTGTTCTTGAATTTCTTTGGATCTTGGCATGATGTCTAGCTTTTGAGGTGCTTTTGGTCTACTTCTCTGTGTCAGGCAGCTCATATTTAAGTGATTTCTTGATTGAAACAGGTGTGGCAGTAATCAGTCTTGGGGTGGCTACAGAAATTGAACTCAGGTGTGAAACACCACAGTTGGGTTATTTTTTTTAACAAGGGGGCAATTACTTTTTCACACAGGGCAATGTAGGTTTGGATTTTGTTCTCTCCCTAAATAATAAAAACCATCATTTCAAAACTGCATTTTGCGTTTACTTGTGTTATCTTTGAATAATGGTTAAAAGTGTTTGATGATCAGAAACATTTTGTGTGACAAACATGCAAAAGAATAAGAAATCAAGATCAGCATATTATCGGCCGATATTGGGGTTATTAACAGTATCAGCTATCGGCCAAAAAGACGGCCGATATGGCCAATATTGCACCAGCTTTATGAACTCATGTTGTGTGGCTCTACTTCTTTGAACTCAAATTATTGTTTTGGAACTTTTTTTTATTTATTTATTCTTATTTATGTTTTTTATGTGTAATTATTTCCTGTCCAGGGTGAATAAGTTCACCAAGTTAACTTCCACAGTGTTACTTTGTTACAAAGCACAAGTATTACGTTTTATTTATTGCTGCATTTTTATTATTTTATCATTCTTATAGGGATCTTCTGTCCCTAAACTTGTGTGTTGTTAGATTCCCCAGAGTTAGCTAAATCAGAAAACATTTTGTAACCAGTTGTTTTAGCATAAAGCAATGGAAGGGAAGGCTTGCATTCACCTACATAAAAAAACACTACAATGTATGCGAATTCACTTACATTGTTTTATGCTAAACTAAGAAAACCAACTGCTGCTGGATCAAATTGGGCTGGTTATAAAATGCATTTCCTGACTTGTCTAACTCTGGGGAATCTTAACAAGACACAATTTTACTGAGTGGTGGAATATTCCTTTAAGTTAAAATGTATTTGTGGAAACTACAGTTTACAAGAAAAAAACTTGAATGTTAGATTTATGCTGTGACTGAGTTTGTGTGTTCTGTTGTTTTTGAGAGCTGCTAAATAAATCTTATTTGCATTACTTGGAAACCCTAGTGAGTTACTGAGACAGTTCTTTGGTGTGTAATAGAGAAATAAGTTTGCATCAAAACGGCAGAGAATGATGGGTTTAAACTTAAGAAAATTTTTATTTTTTTTAATTTTTTTTGAGGGAGATTTGTCGGCCATTATATCGGCTATCGGCCTTTGTTAAAAGTTTTAAATCGGTATCGGTCGGGCCCTAGTTTGGACATGCACTGAAGATGGCCTTCTCCACCCACATCCTGCCCACTGAGGCAAAGCACCAATATTTATGCTCTT